TCTGTCTACCAGGTGATGCAGCACTGACACTAGACTGTTACATATAAAGCAGCTAAATCGGTTTATCCAGTTTTTTGATGGAAAATTTGTTCCATGAGGAACTGTAAATCTTACGGCTCTTCTGATCAGATTGGGGAATAATAAGTTGAACTATCAATTTAAACTCGATTTGTTCTTTGCGAAGGAAAAGAGAGTCAAGCGTTGTATTCAGAATAACCTAAATCATAATTTTTTTGCGTAAAACCCAATATCGAAGGGCCTGGCATAACTGCGTTCAGCAAGTAGGAAAATCATAGTAACAACACTAACATGGGATCCTCACATCGGTTGCCCGCAAGGTTTTGGTATTTGTGGTGTAATTTTTTAATGACCTGGCATAGCTGTACCCTCTAAGTAGTAGTGGGATCACCATAGTGACTGTATGGCGGTCTTGACATAGTTTGCTCAAATAAATTGTATTTGCTGGGTTTTACAGAGCGCGAGAAGAAAAATGCAGCATAATTGCTCTTCTGTTTGAGATTTGTGAAATTCTGGCAGCTAGCGATATTTTGTTTAAATAATGAGAGCGTGTGGTCGCGTTGTCATAATCGGTTGTAAGGGGAACCAGTCCGGCTAAATGAGTGAAAACTGCATGAAAATGTCCTTCAATTTCATCCCACGCTTGCTCATATTATCATTGATACTGTTTGGTATCAAGCTAGGAGAGGGAATTTTTTTCGACAGGCCAAGTTCAGCCCATTCAGTCCTTCCTTCCTTTCCATATCTGTTGACATTCCTTTGATTACCCATTGTTGACTTGTATCCTTCAAACACCTTCAAACAGGAGTAGTATTTTCCATTGTGGAGCAGTAAAAGCGTCCCAATCGTAAGTACTACTTCAAAACTGCACAGAGGCATTTTCAGACCCCTCACGTCCATGAGACGTTTAAATAGGATCAGTTGTAAAACCCTAGTTTTTTAACAAATAAGTATATTGCAGAAAGTAGAAAAATGCACCGAATGCCCGTATATCACTCGTTATCCTGGTGATATAAAGGGGCATTTAGCGATGCATGTTGGAAAACGGGAATTCGCCTGTACGGAATGTTCGTACAGTACCAAACGAGCTCACGCACTCGAAGCCCATCAACAGCTTCATGTCGCTGAAAAACAAGACGCTTCTGTTGTAGCACAAGAGGTACCTATGAAAGTTATAATTAGTTGCGCAGCGAGAATATTTTTCTTCTGAAACTTTAAAAGTTTTTTAATTATATGCGAAAATATTTTGTTACTGAAACAACTGGAAGTTGCGAATCGTAGTAATTTAAAAA